AAAACATGTATCACAAAAATAATAAAGCAATTGGGGCGCGCTGGTGGCGCAGTGGTAGGGCGCACCTCCCATGTGCTGAGACTCTCGTCTCGAGCGGTAGGCCCGGGTTCGATTCCACCAACACTCTGATTTATTAGTCTCTGGTCTCGTCTTCATCAGGACAAACGTTCAAGCGGTAAACCTCCGTATAGCATAATGAAGCTAAGTGCAAAAGACTGCAGTTCCTCCAGTGTCCACTAGGGGCAGCCTCCAGGAGCTCCAGTAGATCAGTCTGTAGGGACTCGGGTTGGAAACCAGGGGGTCGCTGGTTCAAGTCCCGATGCGGACCAAAATCTGGGAGTTGGTCTGGTAGCTTTAGAGGTGACAGGGCGACTCCAGAGCACTGCCAAGGCACCTTTGAGCAAGGCATCGAACCCCCAACCCCCCTCACTCTGATGTCTCTCCATGTCCTCAGGTCGTCTTACTTTGAGAGAAGCTCGTCTCTAATAACAGAGTAAAACCAGAATGTCCCCTCAGGGATTAAAAAAGGATTTCAAAATAAGATAAAATAGTCACATACACACCCATTCAAAAAGGTTTGTTTTGAACAACATGTTTATGCGTCTCTGTCGACTGATTCACAGTTTGTTGTGGTTTGATGTAAATTTGTATCCGTGTGAGGGAAATGAGCCTCAGGGTATCATTTATCATATCTACACTTTTAACTGTTCCTATTTAAATAAAGATATAAGCTCTCCGTAAAAAACACTAAAAAATGAAATCATAAATAAATAAAAACAAATCTTACATTTGTACAAATAAAACAAATGATAAAAAACACAATAATTACATTTTAAAGACAATAAAATCACCAAGTATTTTCAGAAAATATTCAGATTAAAAAAAACATTAAAAAATGTATATTTTATATTAATATAAGACTAAAACCAAAAATCTGCAGGAAAGTAAACAAACACAAATAAGAGAAAAGAAGGAAGAAAAACTGAAATGATTTGAAACGGAGCCTCGTGTGATGTGTGAGAGGTAAAACGCCGTCAGTTTGTCCTCTGCAGCAGCACGCCGTTTGTTCGTGTTGCCTTCAGGCGTCGAGTCAAACCTCCAGAGTCTCGTACTAATAGACCGCCGCCGCTGTGTCGCACGCCACTGAACACGAGCAGCTGGAAATAAAACACACACACACACACACACACACACACACACACACACACACACACACACACACACACACACACACACAGAGACACACACACACACACACACACACACACACACAGAGAGCCATACACACACACACACACACACACACACACACAGAGAGACATACACACACACAGAGAGACACACACACACACACACACACACACACACACACAGAGAGACACACACACACACACACACACACACAGAGACATACACACACACACAGACAGACACACACACACACAGAGAGACACACACACACACACACACACACACACACACAGAGAGACACACACACCCACACACACACACACACACACAGAGAGACACACACACACACACACACACACACACACACACACAGAGACATACACACACACACAGACAGACACACACACACACACACACACACACACACATGAACTTGCTTTAAAGGGACATAACGCTGTTTTATACCCGTAGAGTTTGTAAAGCGGTTCATTAAACTTCATCAATCATTAAAAAACAAAAATATGAAGATTTATTTTTTCTTTTTGTTCTCAGAGATGTTTGAATGCACCACGCCACCACAAACAATCATTTAAATGAAACCCGGCGAGATCATTTCCGTCCCAAGCAGCGAGGCATTAAATAAGTCGTTTATTTTTATTTTCAGAGCGACATCGTCGTCATCGTAAATCAAACTGCAGCTGGGTTTATGTTCCAGGACGCTCTGGTGTTTGAGACGTCACGGTCGTTTCTCTCTGGATTAAACTTTAAGAATATTTGATTCTGTTCTCAGACAGCAGAGCGTCCTTTAAGAAAGACGAAGACGGACGGCGAATATTAAAGCAAGAAAAACAAAAACGACGCCGTTAATAATAAAAATAAAATGATAAAAATCCTAAAGAAGAAAAGACAACAAGATGAGAAAACAATGAAAGAGTCAAACAAACAAATAAAGAATTTCTCAAAAAAAACATGACTGGGTATGAGGGTCAGGGTCGCCCGCCTTAAAGATGAAAAAAGTTGTAAATTTATAATATTATTTCTTTAAATTGATTTGAATTACACTATAATTAAACTTTAATCTCAAAATCACAAAAAATAAATTCCCTCTGAATGTTGACCTGATACTCTTAATCATTATTCTGATATTAAAGCGTTTTTTTCCGTCCTTCACAGAGCGCCTTCTTTAAAAATAAAAAAAAAATCTGAACGAAGCCAAATAATAATTTATAACTTTTTAAAAAGACAATAAAATGAATTTATTTTTCTACATTAAAACAGGACATGCAAAATATAAATTTATGACGTAAATAAACATCAGAAGAAGAAGACTTTACTCTTTATTTAAAATTGTTTGCAGCGTCATTTAGGGTAGGGTTGCATTTATTTAAATACGATTTTAAAATGTAACATTTACCCTCATTTTTTTGTAAATATCTTTCTATATTTTATTTGTATTTTTTATTGATCCTTTATTTTTCTCAGTGATGATCCACTCTTTCCCCGTGGCGCCCTGCAGCGGCCCGACACTTCAAATGTTTCAGTTCTTTAAGATGTTACAGCGTTCACATTTTACACCAGGGATGAAAAACGAACATTTACCTCCATAATTTCAACATTTCTCTCCGTCTCTAAAGGCAGCAGAGCATGTGGCCCCCATCAACCCTCAACGTGGCCCTCAGGTTAATTTTCTACACATCAATTATTTAAAAACATGAAGAAAACATGATGAAATCTGCCATGAAATCATAAAAAAACAGAAATATGTCCATCATAATATTTGATCACTGGTATATGTTGAGTTAAATTTGAGACATAATTTACTTCAATCGTTTTTGTATTCTACAACAAAAAAAACATGATAAAACATGATTTATGCTTTTGAAGCTTTAAAATAAATTAATAAACGGCTGTAAAACGTGAGCTGCAGCTTTTCTTCTGTTGATTAAAAAAACAACTTTTAATTAAAATGTAATTAATAAAGAACCAGATAATAATCAGTCATTTCTGTAAATACTCAATAATTACTCAGGTTTCACGCTCCAGGCTTCATTTCACTTATTTAGATTTTTTTTTTATTATCTGAAAATGAATTATTTCTTTATCTAAATATCTGGTTTCCCAACCTGGGGCATGCGACCCCTCAAAGGGACGCAGGATTAAAAAATTAAAGATTGTCGAGGTGATTTAGTTTTTAATGATTTGTCTTTAAAAACGTTGTGAATGTTCTTAAATCTCCTCGTGAAGTAAAGCTGACTGAATCGGATTCTTTTTATGTCGTTTTATTTTGATATTTTATAAGTTTTTCGTGACCGCATGACAAAATCAGCTGTTTTTTAAAGCTGCAGTAACGCCGGGTCCTGTGTACGCGATGACATCACCCTGTGTGTCTCTGTGGGAATCGTACTCGTCCTCACTTTGTTCTTATTTGTTTTGAGTTCCTCTCCAAACACAACAACATTCATTAAACATGTTGATGTTTGACTTGAAGCTCAGCTGGGGACTTTAAACGTGGCGTTTTCCCACGGCGAGCCCTCTCGCTCGCACACAGGGGAGAACGTGTGTTTATGGTGGTTTTGGTTGAGAGCTGCTCGTGTCTGTGCAGGTTTGAGGCTGATAAGAGCCAGACTGGAGGATTATGGTAATGACGGGCTGCCACCGACTCACTCACTGACTGCAGGGTCCCATCACAGGCGAGCGAGGGAGCGGGCGGGTGGCTGGGTGGGCGAGCGAGCTGCGGACGCTTATCTCCGTGTTGCAGTGGGCGGTTCTTCACGACACCTTGACTCTCACTGCAGCTGGACAAAGAAACAGCTCAGCGGGTTTATCACCAAAAAACAGCTCCAAAGTGAGCAACTCGACGGTGCGTGATGATTGTTTTACAACCACCAATCATCCCGACGGCGCTTGGATGGCGAAGGATTCTGACCAGCAGATATGATCAGCAATAAGCCGTAACGACTCCCGACATGGTGAAACTCTTTTTTTGTTATCTCTCAGAAACAAAAAACCAAACCAAAAAGAAATCAATCAGAGCGATCATTTCCTCTCGTTCGGCAGTCAAAGAGAAAACACTTTCTGCGGTGTTTTGGCGGCGTCCTACCCTCGCCATCAACTCATCAGATAAGAACGCTGCTCTGCGGCTCCTTCAGCAGAACCCGTGACCTTCAGGAAACAGAAAAAAAAAAACTGCTTCCTGAAGTGGTCAGATTTTTTGTTTCTTCCATGCAGAGTGCGGGGAACAAAATTAAAAAAAGGACGCCTGGTGCATCTTTGGATGGATGAAACTGTATGTACGGTTGCCAAGGAGACCGCTGGTGGAGGGGGTAGTTAGAGGCTGTTAACCCACACACCCCGTGTTTTCATTCACTCTGCTTCGTCCTCAGGAATCACTTCACAGCTGCCGAACACTCGACACAGGTAAGAATCATCCAGCTTCAGAGATCGTTTTCAACTCTTTCATGTCGTTTGTGTTGAATTTTAAAAAACAAAGACATAACTTCAGGTTTTTCTCTCCCTGCTGATTTTTCCTGCAGTCTGAAGATAGGAATCCCCCGGGGGACGCTGCAGCTTTAAATGGACATAATTGAGAGTCAATGATCACCACATCAGCTGCAGAGTAACTAATCACAAATGCTCGCCCCCCGACTCGAGGAGAACGAGTCCCATCAGCAGGCTCAGCTGTGCGTCCGTCACGCTCCCACGCTCACTACTCATTTCTCCACTGGTCGCCTGCGCTGAGGAATTATCTGCTGTCAGGACCTGCCAGGGCCGCCGCCGCCACCGTGGGGGGGCAGGGGGGGTTCTGAGCCATGCTGTCAGCCGCCATCCAGATCCTGGCGTTCGCCCTGGCGCTCCTCGGCCTCCTCGGCACCACGGTCGCCACTCTGCTGCCCAACTGGAAGGTGAGCATGAACGTCTGGTCAAGCGTCATGACCCCGATCTCGCAGATGCAGGGTCTGTGGATGGACTGCGTGTGGTACAGCTCGGGGGTCTTCAGCTGCACCATGAAGAACTCGGTGCTGTCGCTGCCGCCGTACCTGCAGACCACTCGGGCCGCCATGGTTCTGTCCTGCATGGTGGCGGCGTTCGGACTCTGTCTCGCCTCTCTCGGGCTTAAATGCACCCGCTGGGGGGGCAGCCGCCGAGCGAAGGGGCACACGGCCATCGCCGCTGGGGGGTGCTTCATCCTCGCCAGCCTCCTGTGTCTCGTCCCCGCGTCCTGGTTCACCAACGAGGTCATCACCGTGTTCCTGACCACCGACCTGCCAGACAGCAGTAAGTATCAGCCCGGAGGAGCGCTCTGCGTCACCTTCATCTCCGCTGGATTCCTCCTGGCCGGGGGGGTCATTTTCTGCATGTCATGTCCTGGAAAAGGAACGAGGCGACCGGACTACCCGTACCCCCCCGACCCCGACAGGTTCGTGGTGCCCGGACACGAGTGTCGGAGGCGGGAGCTGCGGACTGAGCATGTGCAGCCAAAAAAGAGAAAAAACAAAACGGTTAAGATTCAGACGGACGACGAGGTGACGGAGGAGAAACCCGAACACACCCGGGAGCAGAGGGTCCGCTTGTCCCCCGCCAAACTCCCCCCGAAAGACATCAAGGACAGCTACAGCCTCCAGGAGTACGTGTAACCCTCACAGCTGAGAGGAAATGTGGAGTTTTCAGCTGAGGCTTTCTGGCTCATAGGAAAGGGGGAGGCGTGCTGGGGGAGGTGTGTTTGGGGGGGGGGAGTGGGGTAATTACCAAATGTTGGATTGAGCCGGGAAAAAAAAGAGACAAACAGCAGAGTTCTGCGCAGGAACCGAACGCTGTAAATCCTTTAAAAACTGACGCAGCTTTCACACACCAAAGACCTGAACCCGCTGATTGTAGAAAAAAATAAATAAATCTGCCTGAAATTAAAAGCCATCATTTTGCAGCTGCACATGTCGTCCGCCGTCTGAGATTAAATATTGCTGAAGCCGGCCCAAAGCTTTCTGCAGCCGTGACAAAACTGAAAAGTGTAATGTAGAGCAAGGTGGTCAAAATTAAAAATGATTTCTGATACTTGTTTCTACAATATAATCTGTGAATTTAATGCTCAATGGTATCGGAGAGGACGGTAGCTGTTGAAATGTCACAAAAATAATTCAATATTTGGTGACTTGCCTTGGTAGAAACAGGTATCAGTATCTTTTGATTTTCACAAAAGTCGTTTTAAAGTTTAAAATTCTGGCTCCGCGACAACCCTACTGTCGAGTTTTCACTAAATGAGAAAATAAGAAATAGAAGTTCTATTATGCGGAGGACAAACTGTAAATTTAAGACACTTTCTAACTCAGAAACTCTTTTAGTTTGTCAGATATGAGAGCAGTTATCAGGTCAACAGGTGTTGCAGCGATGGAAGCAGCAAGAGAAGTGGTTCAGATAGAAGTGATTGTACCCGACCTAAAAAGCCTCTGCATGTTTCTAATAAGCTCCACGAGCAGAAACGTGCTCAAACTAGGATCAATATTGGAGATGCTTTTGAAAAATGGAGAGAGGTTAGAACACAGAAAGGTTTACAGACCCATGCAGAGCTGGATAAACACTGAAGCTTCAGAGTCCACCACATGGTGACCTGAGTGAGCATCCACTCTAGAGAGGAGGGGGGGGGAGACAGCTCTCTATGATGTTTAGAATTTAAACACTGGGGGTCAGAGTTACATACTGCTCCTTTAAACCTCATACAAACCTACAAAAATATAACAAGAAACAACAAATGTGGCCGAATCTTTCTGTGTTTGATAAAAATATCACAAACTGGAAGTCGATGTTGTACAGTGCCATTCAACAGAAAATGCAATCCTTACATGTGTCTTAACTTTAAGAAATACAATATAGAAAACAAAAGCTCCAATATTTAAAATCCCTTCTGTCTTGTCTGCTTCGGGCCGGCTCTGACCTCCACAGCTGTTTTTAAAGACCTTCCTCTGTGCATGCTGCTACTGCTTTAGATAGTGCTCACATTTAGTTTTAAAAAAACGGCAATAAAAAACAATCATCTTTTAAAATTCAAGTTGAATTAAAAGCAGAGAAAAAGTCCAGATCCAAAGCGACAAAGTGACAGCGTCCACTCCGTCTTTTCCCAGAGGTTCATGGGGGAGGCGAGAGGTGCAGAGCAGCATGGAGAGAGGTAATGATGCTCTTTGCTTTCCCATTATCCTCTCACCACGGTTGGATGCACACTGACACGCACACACACAAACACACACACACACACACACCTCCACCACTCTCCTTCAGCTGTATGAAAAAGGGCATCCAGTCATTTTCAGGATGTAGCTGTAGAAACCCTGATGGAGAGCGGCCCGTCGTCAGCACTCTACATTTGGTGGGTGGTTGTCCTCTAACCTGAGGTGAGCTGTCAGTCAAACCTGCCGACAGTTCTTGGGAATAAAAATAAAATCGTTGAGCTGAACGCCCACACTGCCTCTAAGGAAAGCTTCCAACCTGCACATGCCAAAAAAAAAAGAAGAAAAAAGCAATCTAGACGAGAACATAGATTTGATTCGTCAGCGCTGCGGCAACATTTTCATAAACCTGAGAGTGACGCTGTAACGCAGGGAACAGGACGCATCAGAGACCAGCAGCAAGGAAACAAATCACACGCTGAAAAAACACATCAACAGAATCATTGACTTCTTCTGTATTTCAGTGTTGGACGCTTTCGTAGCTTTGCATTAGAAGCTGATTCACATTATCGAGGCCTGAGCAACGCCATGAGGACCCTACTGCAAAGCAAGGATTTATTATTTTCCTGATTGTCGTTATTTTTCATCTTTCTCTGAAGTCGGTTGCTTGAATAGTTCTCTACAGTGTGGCTCCTGAAGTCCCATCCATGTTCTCCATAGCAGATTTGATTATTAGCCGTAATGTTAAAGGAAGAATGTGCGACTTTTTGATCCAGTAGGTGTCGCCCTTTAGCACCAGCATGAAACCAAAACAAACTTCTGTTAGGCCACGCCCTCTACATACTGAAGGCTCCGCTCTCCTCCAGAGACACACCTCCAACCCCTCTACACTCACATAACGGAGTTATTCATTAGAGCGCACCATAATTATCCGTAGCTCGAGCTGCAATCACCTGTGTCCTGCATTGTTGTGTTAGCATGCTAATGTTAGCGTTCTTTAGTTAGCTTGTAGCTTCACATTGTTGTGTTAGCATGCTAATTTTAGCGCTCTTTAGTTAGCTCGTAGCTTCACATTGTTGTGTTAGCATACTAATGTTAGCGCTCTTTAGTTAGCTCGTAGCTTCACATTGTCGTGTTAGCATGCTAATGTTAGCGCTCTTTAGTTAGCTCGTAGCTTCACATTGTTGTGTTAGCATGCTAATGTTAGCGCTCTTTAGTCAGCTCGTAGCTTCACATTGTTGTGTTAGCATGCTAATGTTAGCGCTCTTTAGTTAGCTTGTAGCTTCACATTTCATGTAAACTGACACAGAATGAGCGTGATCTAAAAACTCTTACTAACATCCAAATAATCAGTGAGTATGTTCTTCTTCTTCTCTCTTGTTCTTGACTAAAACAGCTTTTATACACAAGGGGAGGAGCCGGCCGTCCCGTCCATGTAAACACGGCTCTGACAACAACACAGCCAGCGGGACTCGAGCTTCTCCCTCATTGCAGACAGTCAGGACTCAGAGACACATTTACACAGGACAGACTTTATGATTTATTTATGTGGAACATGTTGAACATTCTTCCTTTAAGTATTAACGCTGAAACGGATCGTAGATGCTTATCATATTTTGTGTTTGTAATATCTCACCTATGCAGAACAAGGATGGGGGATGATATTTTAGCTGCTGATTTACTGTCTGTCTGAAAACTCTTTAAACTCAACATCTGTTTCATGTTTTAAAATCTGAATGTGATTAATCCAGATCCGGTTGTTTTTCAGACTTCTTGTTAAAGAATAAAATATCAGCGAGCTGAGACGTCTAACTGTGATGGTGTTTTATTATTTTGTTTCTCTTGAAGTTTTGTGGTATTTAAAACTGTAAGTATTTCTAGGGACGCACGATCTAAATTTTGTTGAGATGATGACCTATAACGACCTGCTCCTGATGGCCGATAACGATAACCGATAATGACCTGCTCCTGATGGCCGATAACGATAACCGATAATGACCTGCTCCTGATGGCCGATAACGATAACCGATAACGACCTGCTCCTGATGGCCGATAACGATAACCGATAATGACCTGCTCCTGATGGCCGATAACGATAACCGATAATGACCTGCTCCTGATGGCCGATAACGATAACCGATAACGACCTGCTCCTGATGGCCGATAACGATAACCGATAATGACCTGCTCCTGATGGCCGATAACTGATAATGACCTGCTCCTGATGGCCGATACGATAATCGATAATGACCTGCTCCTGATGGCCGATACCGATAACCGATAATGACCTGCTCCTGATGGCCGATACCGATAACCGATAATGACCTGCTCCTGATGGCCGATACCGATAATTGATAATGACCTGCTCCTGATGGCCGATACCGATAATTGATAATGACCTGCTCCTGATGGCCGATAACGATAACCGATAATGACCTGCTCCTGATGGCCGATACTGATAATTGATAATGACCTGCTCCTGATGGCCGATACCGATAACGATAATGACCTGCTCCTGATGGCCGATACGATAATTGATAATGACCTGCTCCTGATGGCCGATAACGATAACCGATAATGACCTGCTCCTGATGGCCGACAACTGATAATGACCTGCTCCTGATGGCCGATACCGATAACCAATAATGACCTGCTCCTGATGGCCGATACGATAATTGATAATGACCTGCTCCTGATGGCCGATACCGATAACTGATAATGACCTATTCCTGATGGCCGATAACTGATAATGACCTTCTCCTGATGGCCGATACCGATAACTGATAATGACCTGCTCCTGATGGCCGATACCGATAATTGATAATGACCTGCTCCTGATGGCCGATACCGATAAATGATAATGACCTGCTCCTGATGGCCAATACCGATAATTGATAATGACCTGCTCCTGATGGCCGATACGATAATTGATAATGACCTGCTCCTGATGGCCGATACCGATAACCGATAATGACCTGCTCCTGATGGCCGATACCGATAACTGATAATGACCTGCTCCTGATGGCCGATAACTGATAATGAACTTCTCCTGATGGCCGATACCGATAACCGATAATGACCTGCTCCTGATGGCCGATACCGATAACCGATAATGACCTGCCCCTGATGGCCGATACCGATAATTGATAATGACCTTCTCCTGATGGCCGATAACGATAACCGATAATGACCTTCTCCTGATGGCCGATACCGATAACCAATAATGACCTGCTCCTGATGGCCGATACCGATAACTGATAATGACCTGCTCCTGATGGCCGATAATTGATAATGACCTGCTCCTGATGGCCGATACCGATAACCGATAATGACCTGCTCCTGATGGCTGATACGATAATTGATAATGACCTGCTCCTGATGGCCGATACCGATAACCGATAATGACCTGCTCCTGATGGCCGATACTGATAATTGATAATGACCTGCTCCTGATGGCCGATCCCGATAACTGATAATGACCTGCTCCTGATGGCCGATACCGATAATTGATAATGACCTGCTCCTGATGGCCGATACCAATAACCGATAATGACCTGCTCCTGATGGCCGATGCGATAATTGATAATGACCTGCTCCTGATGGCCGATACTGATAGCTGATAATGACCTGCTCCTGATGGCCGATAATTGATAATGACCTGCTCCTGATGGCCGATACCGATAACCGATAATGACCTGCTCCTGATGGCCGATAACGATAACTGATAATGACCTGCTCCTGATGGCCGATACGATAACTGATAATGACCTGCTCCTGATGGCCGATACGATAACTGATAATGACCTGCTCCTGATGGCCGATACGATAACTGATAATGACCTGCTCCTGATGGCCGATACCGATAACCGATAATGACCTGCTCCTGATGGCCGATACGATAACTGATAATGACCTGCTCCTGATGGCCGATACTCATAACCGATAATGACCTGCTCCTGATGGCCGATACCAATAACCAATAATGACCTGCTCCTGATGGCCGATACCGATAATTGATAATGACCTGCTCCTGATGGCCGATACCGATAATGACCTGCTCTTGATGGCCGATTCAAACGCTTCATTTCAGCTGCTGTCTCTTTAAGGCCCCCCTCCTCCCCTCGTGCCCACTTTTCTCCGATTGGCCAGCTCTGTTTGCAGTCAAAGGTGAATTTGAGTGAGCTTCAGAGGTGGGCTTGTTTTATAGAC